GTTAACTGCGCCTCGTTAAGCCCCACCACGATGACGCGATGACGACACCTGGAAACATCACGTTCCTGAACCACTTGGCCACCAGCTTTAACTCGAATCGTGAATTATCGCGCCGGCCGCGATTGGATTTGTTAGTCCATCCGTTGCCGGCGATTTACTATTTTGTTGTTGTACCCCTCTCGATAGGGGTGGGAGGGATGGGGGACAGCGTTCGCTTGTCACGTTATGTGAACGATGTATGTCGGTCGATTTAAGAAGAAGAAATGGTTTTGTTTATTTTTATCATCGAATCGATTTAGAGCACGATTTTAGATTTCGTTGTTATGTAGAAGTGTGTATAGAAGTGGTTAAGTAAGAAGTGTTTGCTCGAACATCTTATCTTTAGGGAAGATTTATTTGATGAAAGTTTGGGAATATTATTTTTTTGGAGGGAAAATCCGATCTGAAAGTTTCTTTCGTGTTTTGAATACGTATGTTCGCGCGGGAATATATGAAATAAATTTTGTAATTTCAGAATTTAGTGTATGATTAGGATTTTTAGTTTCCAGAATTTAATTTTAACATATTTTTATTGAGCTTTCGAATCAAATATTTTGGGTCACCGTATGTATTTAAATCGAACGAAATAATAGATAATAATTATAAATATATTGATAGATTTTAATGTTTATTTTTGATTCAATTTTAACAATTAAAAATTGGAAAGAAAAAGAAATGCAAAAAAACAATATATCAAGATGATTTTTTTCATTCTAACAAGGATAAGAATGAAGTGTAACCATATCGTTTAGAAGAAGCTTTCAATTGTTATCAAATATAACATCAATTCTGAGAAAGTAAATAAAAAAGTTTTTCTACGAATTTCCAAGAATTTGCAAATACCAGTCTTATGTTTTGATGAAAAATACTAAAAGTCTATTTTTACAGAATAGACTTTACAGAAGAACTTTCTTGTGTTTCCACGTCGAATTTAATTCTTTCCTTTTGCAATTAATTTATCGATACATCGGTGTCAAAGATTAAAAATTAATATGAAACTTGAGATTAAATATACGTAATTTAAAATATTCCTTTAGAAAGTAGATAAATCGATTGATATTCGATGCTATTTTACAGAGATTTAGAACACTGTACACTACGTCAAAACAACCTCGAAATACCATGAGATTAAGTGAAATCTTCCTCGGATCATATAAATTTCGTGAAACTCCGGTTTCGTTGTCGGATTACAAGCACGACTAAACGTACGCACACGTGTCGACACGATCTCCCTAACACTGGAAACGACATCGCATTGCGAATCAACCGAATACACTGCGAATTAAATCGTCCAAAACTGAAAAGCGAAAATTCGAATAAAATTTCTCATTCAAAATTTTTGCAAATAAAATCTTGAAAAATGAAAGCATGAAATATAGAAACGAAATTAAAATTTACAATCTGTAGCTATCATATTCTGGATATTTTTTGATAGATATCTTTCAAAAGAATCGATATGTATAAAAAAATTAGAATTTCATTCGATAATATTTTTATCATGAAAAAACAAGAAAATATGAGAGAAGTTTTATCTTTGAACTGAAATAGATGCAGAAATCGAATTCTAATTCTAAAAAAATGATAAAAGAAATTTGTAAGAATATTTGTAAAAGAAGAAGTTCATAAAATATTCTCTTAAAATATAAATGCATTTGAGATATAAATTACACGAATGTTTGATTCCAAGATGCAAATTCGATAGAAAATGAAATTCAATCGATTCTTCATTAACATATATAATTATTTTAATTTCTATATTATCAAACATATGAAACCTTTCGTTACCTAAAACCAACGCAATAACTTTAACCAAAATATTCTAAAATTTCTAAATAAATATAAAACAATGTTTAATTAAAAATTTAAGTTTCGTTCGGTCCAATTTCGATCTAATTTCACAAACGAAAACGAAAAAAAAAAAAAAGAAGAAAGAAACATGTTAATTAAATTTCCATGAGAAAAGCTTCAATAATTTCTACAATAAGTTGATGACGTTCACTCGACAATTTTCTTCTTTCTTTCATTCCACAAAAAGAAATCGCGAATGAAGATATAAAAAAATAAAAAAGAAAAAAAAAGAGAAACAAAAAGAATGACACAAAAAGGACGCATAAAAGACGGGATAAAAAAAAAGAGAATAAAGGGAGCAAGAAAAATGGAAAGAAATAGAAAATGGGGTGAATCACGCGTGTTCACAGTATTCGATGCAACGTTCCTCCCCTCTTCCCTTTTAATCGCGAGCCAGCGTCATCACCGGATAAAGCAACGTGTAATTTGTCGCAATTGGTATTGTTCAGTGTTTCCCGCTTTTCCGGTTCCGTTCTCTATCTCTCTCCCATGGACCCCCTATCGCACTCTTACCCCTCTATTTTTCCCTCTCGGTTACCCCATTCTGCTTTTTTTCATCCCCTATTTTGCCTTCCTCGAACCTCGAATCGAGCGAATTGAGTGTGTGTATGTGTGTGTCCCACTTTTGCGGCGACCGGTAAAGTTTATAATCGTTCTCGATTAACCGAGCGCAGCAACATCGTTTCCGCGGAATCGAGTCGAAGCCACGATGAGAAAGGACACGGTTACGCTATCAACGATCATAAGATCGGTGGAGAAGACGATAAGAGGGTAGAGAAAGAGGATTCGAATTCCATCGATTCCATTTAAGGAAAAGTCCAAAGAGAGGGATAATGAGACAAGTTCGAACGATCGGAGAATACTTATGAAAGCGTCTGACGTTTCTTCGAAGAAAGTTGTTTGAAGATGGCTTAATTAAAGTTAGAGTTATTTTTCCCGTATTTTTTTCTCTTCCCCTTTTTCTCGGTCGGAGAATATTAATTATACTTTGTTATACTCGTATATCGTTTTAAACCGATTCGACTTACACGGATATATACGGGTATCCTCGAGTCGTTCACTGGTATCTATAAACACTGGAATCGTGATAATGTTACGAGGCTTCCGCACATTATTTCCCGAATCACAAAAAACACCTACTTTCGTTCCTCACTGATACATCCCATCGAGTTTTCACGGGTCGGTCGAGAATCCAGCGGATAAAATAAACGCGGAAGATTTGATCACGAGGCCTTTTATCGCTCGTGCACGATCGACAACTCGTCACATGTCACCCGAAATCGAGACTTCCTTCCCCCCGAGAAACTATCTCGTGTCTCTGCCCGGAAACACTGCTCACGACACATCTACGATTACAGATACTCACTGCATACAATCTTTTTTTTAATCTCAAGTTTCGAAACTTATCGAGGATCGACCGATTTTTAAAAAAAAAAAGGTACGACGAATAGTGCAAACGCGGACGAAAACACGAATTAGAAAAGAAAACGACGCGGATCGTGGAACCGATTACACGAAGAACGGGCACGGAAATCTCGGCACGATCTAATTGCGAGCAAGTTTTTCCGCGATACGGCTCGCTCGCCGGCTACTCGTTAGGACTTCGCCTACGGACTGCCGGGCGCCGCGGCAAAAGCTACGGCGCAACACGCCGACGCATCAACCCCCTTGGAACCCCTTGGCCCCTGTGTCGCACCGATACCAACCAATACCAACCTACGGTCACGACGTTCTAACGCGAAACGGCCGAGTTATCCCTTCGCGTCCCCCTACCCCGAGCGGTACGTGCACCTGTAGTCGAATAGTGATACCTGATCGAGGTTGATGTTCGATGGAATGACGATACATCAATCGTATTATATCGCGAGATTCGAACTTTCATGAGGTGTTACGTGTTTTGTTATAATCGGAGATGGATTATTGGCGATTATTGTACGGCGACTGTATATTTTGATAGGGAGAATTGTTTGATTGTTTGTGCGTGCAATAAGAAGAATTAAAAAGGGAGTGATTGGATTGGGAGAAAAATGAATATTTGAGTAGAAATTTTAATATTGTATTAATTATATACCCTAACTAACCAAACTAACTCAATCAATTTCCCATTTTGAGTTTAAAAATTACGATTAATACTAATTTTCTCGTAAACGAACAATATTCTAATTAAAGCGTTAATGTTGTTCCTATAATTCTATAAATGAAACCGTATAAAATGATTCTATTTAATAGTTTATTCTATTTAAAATGGTTAGAAATTGAAGGGGCGATATGTTATCGGAAAATTAATACGTATTTATGTTAATATTATTATGTTCATATCACTGTTAATATTTGTTCAATGAATCGGATTGGAATTTAATTAATTAAAATGCGGAAATTTGGTATATAGGAAGAATTGTATTTATTAATCCTTGCAGACGTTTCTTTATTTCTTTATTAATTAACGTGTAAGTGAGAAAGAATAAAATTTAATATATATTTTAAAAGTTTAAACAATAAAATCATAAGAAAATCCATCGAAATTCACAAAAATCGATAAAAATGATATTAAAAATTAAAAAATTTAATTGCTAAATGAATATATATATTTGATTATTTTGCAATATTATTCATAAAGATAGAGAATTATAATAAATATTTTAATTTATTTTGTTATTTATTTCGTTAACGTTAACCAATGAATATAAAAGAACGAATTATGAACGTAATAAATAATTATCTATTATAAATAAAATTATTATCCTATTTTTCACATCGTATATGAAAGTTCATTCTTATATTCAAAGAAATATAAGAACAAAATTGAAAAATAAATAATTTATCTAAAATATGAAAGAGAACATCGATTGCTTGTTTTATTTATCCACTGACTGAATAAAATAAAACAAAAACTAAATATTTTATAATAATAAAAAATATGAAAATAAAAATTATTTTACGCGCGAAACATGATACTTCATTTCAAAGAATAGACTGATTTGAACGCCACGGTGGCGGAATTTGAAACTAATCTTGGTATCGAAGCGCCAAATTGTAAAATATATCGAAATTTATTGCGTCTTATTTCCAGGGAAATGCGAGACACGAAATTAAGAGATAAATAGATAATTTACCTATGATATGAAGCAGAACGTTGATCGATCGTCTTGTTATTCTTTTGGAGCAAAATATGCACGAAAAATATAAACTTTCTAACAGAAATATAAAAATACGAAGGAACGATTTTACGCACGAAACCTGTCACTGTGCTTCAAAAAAGAAACTGACTCGAACGCCACGGTGGCGGAATTTGAAACTAATCTTGGTATCGAAGCGCCAAATTGTAAAATATATCGAAATTTATTGCGTCTTATTTCCAGGGAAATGCGAGACACGAAATTAAGAGATAAATAGATAATTTACCTATGATATGAAGCAGAACGTTGATCGATCGTCTTGTTATTCTTTTGGAGCAAAATATGCACGAAAAATATAAACTTTCTAACAGAAATATAAAAATACGAAGGAACGATTTTACGCACGAAACCTGTCACTGTGCTTCAAAAAAGAAACTGACTCGAACGCCACGGTGGCGGAATTTGAAACTAATCTTGGTATCGAAGCGCCAAATTGTAAAATATATCGAAATTTATTGCGTCTTATTTCCAGGGAAATGCGAGACACGAAATTAAGAGATAAATAGATAATTTACCTATGATATGAAGCAGAACGTTGATCGATCGTCTTGTTATTCTTTTGGAGCAAAATATGCACGAAAAATATAAACTTTCTAACAGAAATATAAAAATACGAAGGAACGATTTTACGCACGAAACCTGTCACTGTGCTTCAAAAAAGAAACTGACTCGAACGCCACGGTGGCGGAATTTGAAACTAATCTTGGTATCGAAGCGCCAAATTGTAAAATATATCGAAATTTATTGCGTCTTATTTCCAGGGAAATGCGAGACACGAAATTAAGAGATAAATAGATAATTTACCTATGATATGAAGCAGAACGTTGATCGATCGTCTTGTTATTCTTTTGGAGCAAAATATGCACGAAAAATATAAACTTTCTAACAGAAATATAAAAATACGAAGGAACGATTTTACGCACGAAACCTGTCACTGTGCTTCAAAAAAGAAACTGACTCGAACGCCACGGTGGCGGAATTTGAAACTAATCTTGGTATCGAAGCGCCAAATTGTAAAATATATCGAAATTTATTGCGTCTTATTTCCAGGGAAATGCGAGACACGAAATTAAGAGATAAATAGATAATTTACCTATGATATGAAGCAGAACGTTGATCGATCGTCTTGTTATTCTTTTGGAGCAAAATATGCACGAAAAATATAAACTTTCTAACAGAAATATAAAAATACGAAGGAACGATTTTACGCACGAAACCTGTCACTGTGCTTCAAAAAAGAAACTGACTCGAACGCCACGGTGGCGGAATTTGAAACTAATCTTGGTATCGAAGCGCCAAATTGTAAAATATATCGAAATTTATTGCGTCTTATTTCCAGGGAAATGCGAGACACGAAATTAAAAGATAAATAGATAATTTACCTATGATATGAAGCAGAACGTTGATCGATCGTCTTGTTATTCTTTTGGAGCAAAATATGCACGAAAAATATAAACTTTCTAACAGAAATATAAAAATACGAAGGAGCGATTTTACGCACGAAACCTGTCACTGTGCTTCAAAAGAGGAACTGATTCGGACGCCACGGTGGCGGAATTTGAAACTAATCTTGGTATCGAAGCGCCAAATTGTAAAATATATCGAAATTTATTGCGTCTTATTTCCAGGGAAATGCGAGACACGAAATTAAAAGATAAATAGATAATTTACCTATGATATGAAGCAGAACGTTGATCGATCGTCTTGTTATTCTTTTGGAGCGAAATATGCACGAAAAATATAAACTTTCTAACAGAAATATAAAAATACGAAGGAGCGATTTTACGCACGAAACCTGTCACTGTGCTTCAAAAGAGGAACTGATTCGGACGCCACGGTGGCGGAATTTGAAACTAATCTTGGTATCGAAGCGCCAAATTGTAAAGTATATGGAAATTTATTGCGTCTTATTTCCAGGGAAATGCGAGACACGAAATTAAAAGATAAATAAATTAAAAGAGAGATAATTTACCTATGATATGAAGCAGAACATTGATCGATCGTCTTGTTATTCTTTTGGAGCAAAATAAACACGAAAACTAAATATTTTACAATAAAAATACGGAAAAATGATGGAATGATTTTACGCACGAAACACTTCACTTCGAAGAACAGACTGATTGGAACGCCACGTGGGTAGAATTTGAAACTAAAATTGATACTAATTATTGTCTTTTAATTTTAAATTATATTATATTATATTGTATTATATTATATTGTTTTATAATTTTTAATTTTTATATTATTATATAAAACGTATTTCATATTTCATATATAGTATAGAAATATATACACAAGAAATGAATTTGTTCATATAATATTATATTATTATATAATATAGATTATTCTATATAATAATATGAATTTTATTAAAACATATATTTTGTATAGATACATATTTTACAAATGATGAGATACAGAAATGGATTTAAATACAAAATATTCGAATATATGTATTTAATATAATATTTCATAAATATTTCTATAAACAATGAGACTGCAATATAATCTATTGAAACTCAAAGTGCAATATTTTATTTGCATATTATTCTTTGCGTCTATATACTACATTAATTTATTGATTAACGTTCTATTTATTTATTTGTTATTAATATTCACTCAACTAATATATCATTATAATTCGAATCCAAAATAAATATTACGGTATGCATTTTGCAGTTTTTAAAAAAATATATAAATTTTACAAAAAATTATATATAATTTCTAATAGAATATTACAATTTCTTACATTATATTTTAATATTAAATATTATAACTTTCAAAGCAAAATATTTACAAAATATTATTTCAATTTATGAATTGAAGACAAATGAAAATTCGTTCGAAACTAGCTCTCAATGTGTCTAAATTAAAAGTAATAATGAACAAGGCAAAATGAGGAAACTATATAAAGAGAAAAAGATGAAGTCGATAGTGAGTAAACAACTAAAGTAAGCGAAAAACTTTCAATACTTCAAATATCTTCGAAGTGTACAAACAGAAGATAATAATGATAGAAACGATAATAACATTTTATCGATTCGATGTAAGAAGTAATACGTTTATTTAAGAAAAAGTTAATTCAAAATTAATGAATTTACACGACAGATAAAGAATAAAAAATATGAAATTATTAAAAAATTTGTTTTGTTATTTTAATAATTTTAAAATGATCACATTGATCCTATCGATTAACTAACTGGTATATTTTATTTAATTAATCTGTTCGATATGATATTAATTTTATAAAAAATAGAAATAAAATTCGCAAATCTAAATAAATAAAAATAAATAAAAAAATAAATTATATTTATAATATATTTATATAATTAATGTTCTCAAAAGTAAAATAACAAAACAAAAAATTTCAGTCCAATATATTGAAAATATTGAAAATATTTATGAGAATAATAATTTTTTAAAAATATTTTTACAACTTGAAAGAAATTGTAATATACATAAAAATACAAGTATATTTCTCGATAAATTAAAATATGCATAAATTTAGTTTTTTTATGTATAATAAAAAAAAAGAAATAAACGAAGAAATGTCGACAATTCTTTATTGATAATTTAAACGGGATAAAATGTAGTAGTGCCAAGATCAGAGAGAGGAAAATACGGACGAAATTTTTTAAGAAATTCTTTTCAAAGAAAACTAGCTCGAGATCCAGAGTAAAGAAGAAATTCTGAAGAACTATATTGCTCTTTGTTTAACTGTAAAACCTGTGAATAATTCCATTATCTATGAGCCACTTCGTACAAAGTGGAGGATTTTAAAAAAGAAAAGTAAAAAGTAATATATTTCAAGAATTAAAATATTATAATAAAAAAAAATTTTCTTTAAAACTTCTTAAAACATCAATGATTTTCGTACGAGAAAATATAATGAATATCGAGGCTAACATTATTATGCGTTTAATAATTAAACAATACCATGCTTGTTGAAACATTAAATACAAATAATATGAAATATAAATAGTGAAATCAAATCAAATATATATATAGTATAAAATATTCAAATATTTTTGTTGAAGAATGTATGTTAAAAATTTACAATTGAAAAAAAAAAGATAAAAAAAAATCAATATCTTATTGAATTATATATTTGTATTTTTCAAACAATTGAACGTGCAAAATAAAATAAAACAAGAGCTATCTATTTTTTCTAAACTTGCCTTTTACTCTTAATTACGAGCGTTAAAGCTATTGCGTATAGCATAATTAAATAAATAAATCACTTTTTTTTTATAATCATAATTTTACTTTTCCTTTTGTAAAGTAATTATCAAATAATAATTAATATAACGATAAATACTAACGACTTGCAATCTAATTACAGATACGTAATCCAATTAAAAGTTGAGAATTACACACGAAAAGTTTGTGATGAAATTACAATGAATACGTTGAATATTCTACGAATACAGACGTACAATTAACATAGATACGCGACGAGTTAAAATTTATGGAGATGATGAAAAGGACGAAGGAGTAGCCAGGTCAAATGTAAAGTATTCTATTTCTCACGGTATTCAACTTTTTTTGAAATGATCAAATCACTCGATATTACTGTAATTTTTCATCTCACGAACAAATGAAATAATTATTCGATTTTGTTAAAAGTCTAATTTATCGAATTTGTATTCATTCTGACATCCAATGGTATCGCATCTCAAAATCTATCAAAATCTATCATACGTCAAACTTCAATAATAAATAACAAAACTTGGTATCATAAATTTACAAGAGTTTCTCATTTCTCATTCAATTCAGAAGAAATCAGAATACGTGAGAAAAATAATCTCCTCATTTGTTGTTGTCTTATATATTTTATATCCCGTAACACGAATCATAAATAAGAATCTTTTACTCTTCGATTCCAATTAGATAAATTTCCATAATTTATTCACAAATAAAGTCTTTTTTTCTTTTAGTCACGACAAACAAACGATCCAAAGTATTGTTATATATTTAAGAAAAAAATGAAACACTCACACTTCCCCAGAAGAGGGGATAAACCAACAGGACTTGCAAAGTGGCCACGAACTCCCATAGGAAATTAAACTCGAGCGTCAAAGAGGATCATCGAATAGAAAGGTAAATTAAACGAAACAGTTTGTATTAATACAAAAAGAAAGAAAGATCGATTTATAAAGAAGATCTCAATTTTCTCCTCAACGAGAAGAGAGATAGAAAGGAATAAAAATTTTCGAAAAGAAAATAACAAATAAGATAAGATCGTGTGCAACTGTTAAAATAACGATCAGTGACGAGTATTCATCAATTTCTGAGCGTATACTCGAATGCAAGGTGGAAAACCAGAAAACGGATGAAAAGCGGAGGAACAAGACAACCACTCTTGCAGGCCGCGCAAGCCTGTTTAATTAGCGAACAAATTAAATGTCGGGACAGCCACATCCGACATGGCCGCGTAATTAGAGGTATTATAAATTAATTATAACAGGGTGGCGCAGCCAGTTTTGCGGGATTCAATCTTGGAATGAGCTCGGCCAAATGAATGCCAAACAACTTACCCCCCATTTGCCAACCTTTTTCCACGCATTCTGTTACCCCCCTATCTTCTTCTTTTCGCCTCCATTCCCTTTCCTCCAACTGATTATGAACACTTTCATGCTTTCACGCCATGATATCTCTATCTCTATCTATATAATTCGTGTGGTGATTGACGGTCGACTCGATTATATCGGACGTGGAATATAGGAAAGGGTAGCAAGATGGAAGGGGAACGTATCCAGAGAAGGACAATACGATACGATAAACCGAGTTGTCCACCGCTTCCGAGACACGTCTGTCCTATAATATACAGGATGTCAGGTGTCGATCTCAGATGATATATACTCGGTTGCGCGAGATAATTATGCAATGTCAGACACGAATATAAAATGAAGTTTGGATCATTGTGAAAAAATGTGAAAGATCCTCGTTCAGGGAATAAAATACGAAATTATAATGGAGAGGTTGTGATGATGATAAAAATTTTATTTGTCTATTTTTAGAATCGGCGTTTCGATCGAGGTTTCGTTTCGAAAATCGATCAGATAATTATATCCGTGTGTCAAGACACTGGAATAGCGTCGAGTGTATTCCCTCGAGAGATATCACGAATTATAGAGTGGAGCTTAGAAGTCTCCGTCACAGAATAGAAACCGATTAAGCGAAACAACCAACTGACTACACCTGTTGATATTTCCCTAGCCACTGTACGTTTCGCATCCACCTATGTGCGCTGGCGTGCACACACGTGTACACCACCGTTTCTCAATCCTCCGTTTCAATGAAATGAGAGAGACGAATTCGAGAAGAGAAAGATTACGAGTCGATTCCTCTAACCGAATCGTAATTTTTCATTA